TTGGCAACCGCATGGGTTGACGTTCACACGACCGAAGGCCGAAGCTTTAAAGTTCGCACCTTACTGGATCAAGGATCCACTTTCAGTTTTATTTCGCAATCGCTCTGTCAGACGTTGCGTACAAAGCGACAACGCTCAAATTTGCAAGTTACATGTTTCGGCGAGAAATTTACAGGCGTCGCGAAATCTCGCGTCGTGCTGACTACTTTCAGTTTTATTTCGCAATCGCTCTGTCAGACGTTGCGTACAAAGCGACAACGCTCAAATTTGGAAGTTACGTGTTTCGGCGAGAAATTCACAGGCGTCGCGAGATCTCGCGTCGTGCTGACATTAAAGCCGTGTTCCAGTGCGGAACCGGCCTTTCCGCTGCACGCCTACGTGTTTCAAAATATCACTTCGTACGCCGCGTCACGGACTCAGCCCGTCGAGTCGTGGCCTCACTTGCAAGGCATCTCATTTGCCGATCCCGATCCTTCAAGTCGACATCGGATTCACTTACTAATCGGTGCCGACTTGTACGGTTTCTTGTTGAAAAATGGCCTCCGGCAAGGCCCTATTGGAACGCCTACCGCTCAATTGACAGCGTTAGGCTGGATTATCTCCGGCCCCACGGGTCGCGGCCGGATTGAATCCGAGAATATTTGCGTCTGTCATAACGTGTCTACGCACGACACGAATTTGCTTCTCAGGTAATTTTGGGAGGACGAGGAGGTCTCGCGCCCCCCTCCACTTACCGACGAGGAGGAGCGTTGCGAACAACACTTCCTCGCCACTCATAGCCGTTCTCCAGAAGGACGGTACATTGTTCGATTACCCTTCCGGCACGAACTACCAATCGACATAGGCGATTCACTGCATATCGCCACGGTATTCTACGAGAAAATGGAAAGGAAGCTGCGTCGGTACGCCGAACTCTCCGCGCAGTATAATGACTTTTTGGTGGAATATCTCACCTTGGGACATATGAGCGCGATCGAAAGTCCCTGCGACACCGCTCTTACGCCTGTGTACATTCTGCATCATTCGGTTTTGCGCGAAACGAGTAGTACCACGAAGTTACGCGTCGTTTTTAACGCCTCGTGCAAAACGACGAACGGAACGTCGCTTAACGACCATCTGCTGGTCGGACCGAAGTTACAGCAAGATCTCCCCGCTATTCTGCTGTGCTGGCGGCAGTGGCGTTTTGTTTACGCAGCAGACATCGCCAAGATGTTCCGGCAAATCCTCGTGAATAATCTCGATACCGACTTCCAACGAATTCTCTGGCGTCCGCCCTGCGACACGCCGATCACGCATTTCCGGCTTTTGACCGTAACGTACGGGCTCGCTCCCGCTCCGTATCTCGCGATGCGCGTTTTGAAACAATTGTCGTTAGACGAAGGGTCCGACTATCCGGCGGCCGTCCCGATACTACGCGACTCCGTCTACGTCGACGACGCGCTATTCGGTGGAGATGACGTCGTGTCGCTGATGGAATGTCGCGAGCAATTGACGGGACTCCTTCAGCAAGGGGGCTTTCAATTACGGAAATGGGCGTCGAATTCGCCTGAATTGCTGCGCGATTTGGCAACGCGTCAAACCGACATGGAGGATCACCTCCTTC